GTTGATCGAGACCCTTACAGACTTCGACATGAAATGCAGACAATCAAGTGGTTACAAAAATGTGTGACAGATTTCAGTCAGAAAACAGAATTGTTACATACACATGACCAGACTTTGATTTTTTTTTATTGTACCTGTATATGTTTATGTGTATATCCTAAAGCAAAGCTATATCCGTAGATTTGTAGTCGTGCTAAGAAGAACTTTGAAGAAGCTAAAATCCATTAATTCAAAGAAAAGAGAAGGTACCCAAAATGGTCTCGTTGTGTGTTCTCTTTGTCTTTATTTAATGAAAGCATTCATTTTTAGCATTTCATTGTGTAACTTGTAACTTAATCAACCAAACTGAAGCAACAAGTATTTAATTTAAACCATCTTAGGTCACAAGTGTAGCAGTTACTACGCAAGAGGGCTGTTTTTTTTTTTTAACCTTATTTTCCAATATAAAACTTTAGAACCATCTTTAAACAGTCATTTTAATTCTATTATTTCCATTGTCGCATCCTCAAGCTAATACTATTAGTGTGTTTATTATCTGCATGTTGATTCATATCAGGCTTAGCTTCCCTTGTGGGTCTAATCAACAAACACTCTATCAATCAACACAATCTTTATCAACAGCAAAGAAGATATGAATGGCAATTTACTCACCCGCAACATCGTAAATCATTTGGACTGGTGCCGAACGCACACTGAAACTGTTACACACTGGGTGGATAAGTGGCTGGGATGAAAACAGTTTTTGTAATGTATGTGCACTTGTTGTCTGATTAGTATGCAGCCATAAATTCACCAGCTGTGTACACAAGGCTGATAGGCCACTGTTTGTCGGCTTCATGGGCTGCGTCTTGCCCAGCCAATACACAATGCAAAGTGAATCAATAAAATAAATTGACATCTTTATTAAGCTTGGTGCTTTGGAAGGTGTTTACAGAGGTTCTTTGATCCTGACGCTGATGGATGAGTTGCTGTCATATTATGTGCACGTAAAAAAAAAACAAAAAAAAAAACACATCCTCTTATGCTCATCTACTGTTGACGTAAAAGAAAAATGATCACATTTAAAGTGGTGGGAAACTTTCAAACATTTAACATTGCATGTATTTGTTAAGCATTACCACAGGAGCTCTCTATATTCACGTTGTAACACAACAGATCGGAATGTGAAAGGACAGTTTGACAACCATAAAATGTGTTAATGTATGATAATAGGTGTCGCTGCTGTGCGGAAAAAGAAAGACCACAGTCATCTTTGCTCTTGGTGCGCACCGCAGTCATGTAAATCACACATTTCAGCAGCCTCAGCAATAGTGCGCCATGCGTGCATGCTGGTGTCTATATTTCAGTCATTCACCTTACGCGTTGAGCGCGTGGGAAGGGCTGAATTAGCAGAGCGACATTACTGCTGCAAGCTGCAAATTTTCCTCCCACAAAATCATTAAAGCATCACACTCCACAGATGTGAGACCGAAAGGAACACTTCAGGGACTGCAGGGGTCTGCAGGCCAATCTAATAAGTGAGGAGGTAACAGAAATAGGTTTGACTGCGGGGCCTCCGGTTTAGATATCTGGACAAAAGCTGACTGGAGGCACATAATGACGCAAGCTGTTTTAAACTCTAAGTCATTGCTATTGGTGTGCTTTTGAGCAAGTCAGTGAAACCTCAAATTCTGGATTCCCCATCCCACCAACTCCTCCAGCTTTACAAGAACCTGTGTTCTCATTCAGCTTGAAATCTGGCACTTTACTGCGGTTATCTCACTGTTTAACCTCGTAGTGTTTTGAAAAGTCCTTGAGGGGATGGGATATAACATTTGCTATAAACACAATGAAACTTGCCCTGGATAGCTGTTTTTAGTTTATTGATGCGTACTGTAACTGACCCAAAAAACATGCAAAAAGCATAAAAAATGCTTTCTTAAATAGGATTTGACAGTGGTATACATGGTGTTAGATGCTGCCGCAGTAGGGGTTATCTCTCTGTTCGTGTCTCTGGTATCTGCTTTTCCTTTTTTAATGCTCTTCAGTTTTGTGATGACAACCACAACCAGACACTTGTGTTGTAAAATGGCTTGTGAGGTTTCTGAAACCAGCTGGTTCTCTGATGAACAGTGGAGTAGTTTGATCTCCAGATTGAACCTTTCACCACATTTAGTGCCTAAACTGAGGTCATGCCAATGTAGATGTTATTGGGTGTTTTTATCATAAAGGAAAAAAAAAAAAAAAGAAAAGGCCTACCGAAGGGTACACTTGATTGTGAGGCGTGAAATCAGCAAACTCCACAGAATATTTTGAACGTTGCTTTTTTGCTCTTGTTGCTTAATGTCCTGTGTCTTTGTTCTCAGTGATTATTATGAGCTGCTGGGCGTAGAAGTACAAGTAGCTACAACAGAAAGAAGATATATTTTGATGATGTATAAAGAACATGAAATGGGCCATTTGCCTTTTCTTTAATGCATTCTTTTGTTTTGTTTTAACCAACATGACCGATCATTCACAAGAAATGCTCAAAGTGAATGCTTTCATTAAATAAAAGAAGAAAAGAAGACATTAAGAGACCATTTTGGGTACCTTCCCCTGGTTTAAGTTGTTTAAACACAATTTAAACTCATTATCTGCTTACTGAAAATGCTTAAAGCTGCTGAACTACGGAACTGATCTTAATGTTTTCCTCAGTAAATACTATATCTCAGTAATGACATCACAGAGAAGGTCAGGACAGCTGCTGGTTAAAGTTCCAGAGCTGTAACTTTATTGATGGTATTTTTAAACTTCCCATTATGGACTAAATGGAGCCTAACTTGCGTGCTTATTTCTAAAACAGCTCATGGGGAATAAAACCTGCTGCTCAAAGTTAACATTATGTCTCTTTGGATTTAACAGTAACAGCCAAAGATAGAGACAAACTAGCGGTGTGAGAGGAGATTTGCAGCAGTTGGCTCTGAGGTGAAATATGGATTTACTTGACAAGCAGACATAAATCATGAGCTGACAGTGAAAGTCTGCCATCCTGCATCTCAACACTTAATTAAATTGGGATTGACCTGCCTCCTGAATGCCCGGTAGAGCCATATGCTACTGTTTATGCTCCTGGATATAGATGCCAAAATATAAACACAGGTTCTGGATTCATTCCTGATAAACTAAAGAAGCAAGCAGTGAAATAAACAGCATAATATCATCGGCTGTGCCCAATAAACAAACAAAATTAAACACATTATTGCTCTCAGAGGGTGTTAGATGGAGGTAGTGAAATTCTGTTTTCACCGTATATCCCATGAGCCTTTTCTTTGACTGTCTTTGCTCAAAGCAAATCTGTCCGAGACCCCTCTCATCTGAGCAGACACAAGCCAACACTCGCTAGAAAACTCACTGCAGCTTTTGAGGGATTTTTTTAATAATCCAAAAAGAGAAACGATGTAAGACAGTTCAAGCAGTTGGTTCTGCTGGCATCCTGCAGCTTTTTATTCTGGTCGTGATCTTGGGTTGGTGGTTTCTGCAGCTTCTCCTCTCACTGGAAGACCAATCTGTTTCTGCCCTCAAGTTGAAGAACTGAAAGAAGAAGAGCCGCATTGGCCTTATGTTCTTTCTGCTTGAATTGTCTGTGGCCTACTTTTGCTTTTTTAAATTCTTAATGTCCATTGAGTGTGGCAGAGAACTCTTGGACAGAGCAAGCTGCCAAGTCTGAAAATAACCCCAGAAACAAATGAACACTGTCATTTAATTATTTCCCCAATTCCTCAGCCTTCATTTTTATCCACTGCTCTGCTTTGATTATAATTACTAAGCAATACACTTCAAAATGAGTGTTGGTGTTTCGGGATCCACTGGGCATGGAGAAAAGATCTGACTGAATGGTATCCAAACTATGAATTGATTCAACACATTATTATCACATCAAATACCACCACTTCCCTGGGAAGTTGTTCTGTGCAATGTTTCTATCTGGCAGTGTCTGATGGGACAGCACAAGCAGAGGACAGATTCGTCATTCCACATAATTAGAGTCTTAATTTGAACACCTTGCTCAGTTCATTTGCAAAGCTACTCTCCTGCTGCCTGGCCCACAAAGGCAGACTGGAGCGCTATCTGGGTCGCCTGGATATGTAGTGAGCTCTCACAATGTCACGTGGACCCCCCTACCAGCTTCACAGCTGATGGCTTGGATCGGAACAACAGTCACCCGCCAACAGGTTGGCCCGCCTCTGAACAAGCCAGTCTCTGTGGGTCTTAGCTCTTCAGCCCAAAGTGGTCAGTGTTGCTGAGCCAGATGAAGCAGCTGAAGCCAAAACATCAATCATCGCATTATGCCAGCCATGCTTTTGAATCAACTATCACAGATTAGCAAACTAAGAAGCTTCCAGGATGCACAATATTGATTTTCTCATTCTCATCTCATCTGCCACAAAGAGAGAGATGCTTCAGTTTTCCACACAACACAGTTAATCTGGGATAACTCCAGGTTAAACTTATTTATAAAATTATTTTGCATGAAGAAGACAAACCAAGACTTAAGTTTTCTGAGCATAGAGACAAGAAATGGTGATGATGGATGACAACTGTCTGACAGGACTACAATAAAATTCAAGATGTGATGCACCAGAGTCTTTTGGACTCAATCCTGGCAAGGCTAACGTGTCGTAATCGTAGTAGTTATAGTTGTGGTATTAAATACAAGAACTGTTTTGCTGACAAAACAATTTCAACTCCAGGTCCACTTATACCAATCATCCACAAACCCCTGACAAGTGAAGTAAAGAACCTGCTTTACAATGCAAAGCTCTGATGGAAAACCTTGAGTCCTGGCATTTGTGTGGACGTTACTGTGGTCCATACCACCCAACCTAGACATTGCTGCAGACCAATCCAACACCCGCCACGGCAAAGGCAACAATCCCCCGCACCACACTGCAAAAACCATTCAAGAACAAAGCCCAAGGCATTCACTTGAGCTTCAGTCTCTTCAGATCCCAATTTGATTAAACAGAGGACGCAACAGAATGGTGGCCTCACCCAGCAACCCACCAGACTCAAAGAATTCGGCAGAAATGTTCTGGTACCAAATGCTGCAGGACACCTCTAGAGGTTCTCTGTCAATGGCATGTCAGGTCAGAGCTGTTTTGGCAGCACAAGATGGACCTACAAAATATTAGGCAGGCAGTTTTAATGTTGTGGAGAAGGTGGCGATTGCACCTTTCTGTTTTTGTGAACACCTCTTGGAGCTACCTAAAGCAGGAAAGTTAGTGAAAAGCTCTGAAACTGTTGAACAATTTTGAGGTGAGATTGTTTTGTCAACTTGTGTCCAAGGTCAGGAATGGATAGAGAACCTGAAAATACCTTTGGGTCACAATCCATATCGGTGAAGTGGTGGAATCAGGCAAATCTCTGATTAGTTTTGAAATGTAGTTTTCACTCAGCTTCCCGCAGGAGTCATGAATAATGAAGTTCTAAATTCATCAACACCTAAAACTAAAAGATAGAGGCTGTTTTCTCATAGCAAGGCCTTCCTCTTCTACTCATAAAGGAACCATTTGATACAATCCATCTTTACACTTCGAATGTGTGGTTTGAAGAGACTCAGCAAGATGTAACATGTTGATTAGCTTTAGAGGTGCTGAGGGGAACCTTGCTGGGAAAACAAGTGTTGCCACTTCACCTCATTGGCAGATTGTTTCTATTGCGATTTAAGTAGAAAACAGATTTTCATTCTCTCGCTGCACAGCTTTGGTAAATCAGCTGGCTGATTGAACCGAGCATCCAGCTGATCACAGGGAACTCCCTCATTTATTTACCGCCTTACTGGTTAGTTCGTTGCCGCTTCCATCATTTCAGTGTGCTCTGTGGCGGCGCGCTGCACAATCCCAAAGTGAGGAAACCAATCCCCCTGAGATTGGCGACACCCACACTAATGAAATAAACACAGAAAGATGTAATCTCGCCAATTTCAAGGCTCATTAAGTTGTGTAACAGACGGGAGTTTGAAAAAATAATTTGAAGAGGGGTTGTAATGTATTTCTCCCCTCCTTCCCACACGCTCCGTCCCTCATCTCTTCTACCCGTTGTAGGTGCTATGAATCAAAGTTTTTTTTTTTTTTTTTTGCCGCAGCACCAGCTGTATTAAAATGAAAACAAATTATTTTTTATTCTAGAGGTTATGTATAGTTTTGTGATTCCAGGATTTTTTTCTGGGCACTAAGGCGTTATCACTTCTTGGCTTGGTGTCGATTGCATTATGTGAGCCGAGAGTTTTACTGCTGCAAAGTGAAAATCCTCCGAAATAATGTTAGATTTGAAAAAAAAAGAAGAAAGAAAAGGAAGTTAGCGAGTCAGTGAGAGGTTTGATCAGAGCTTTTCTGTCTGCGGATGGCTCCTTGGTTGCATGACAGCTGGCCTGCTTTTTGCTTAGACTGGTAATTTTTCCAAAAGCCCTCCTCAGCTTGAACCTCGGAGGAATACGCATAACAACCGAATGTGTGTCTCACCACTGGCAGGCGTTTGCACCATGTTGAGGTGGCTTGACAGTGACGGCGGTTGTGTGCACAGGAAAAAGAGCAGCTAGTTCATTAGTAAATGGACTAAAAGGGGGAGATTAACTAAACATCATCACCCCTACTGATGAAATGGGACGTGAGCTGCTGAGTTTGTGTGCCCCGTGGTTCACCAGGCTGACCATGCAGACGTCGCCAGGATTGCCGCTCACCGTCAAGCAGCTTATGCCTGTGACAAGCAAATCAGCAGCTCTTCCTCCCCCGCTGACTCGTTCTACCCCAAGGCTCTGCTGAGGAGAAAAAAACATCTTCACACTTTACTTGTAGATAGTAAAAGATACCCCCCTGCCTTCATCTTAGTGTCATTCCCACTCCCACACTCAGCACAAGGATTAACAGCAGCCATTGTGGTGAAAAATGGTCTCACTCTTCCAAAAAACTGCTGTAGGTAAACTCCCTGAAGGCATCAGAGCAGAACACATGGCAATCAAATAGTTTAATGAGTAATAGAAATGAGTGATTTCACCGTTGAATATTTTCTCAGCGCCGTGTGCTGCAGAGGTGGATTTGAGCATAAGCGCCGCGTGCATTTAGATACATTTCAACCTTAATTTATGCTTCTCTGTGGCCCACAAATGCCTTTTTCTGTATATGTTCTAATTACTGTGGTCAAACTACTTGCAGAGAAAAAAGTTCCCAGGGAAACTCAGTAATTATGTTTCATGGTAATTACTGACCTCTGTGGTGCACTGCAACAGTAAGAACCCACCCACTTCCTCCTCACTTTCAACCAGACGTGTTCTGGCTGTGCAACAAAGGAAAGAAAATCCCAAAAATCTGCAGTGGGGAGTTATTGACCCAGCACTGATTTGGCAATGCTTCACTATGCCCTGTAGCTTTTATGACAGTATGGTTTATGTAACTGCCAATGGAGCTCATACAGATGAGTGGTCTGTAACACACAACTGCACACACACACACACACACACACACAAAACACTCGTAGTAAAGAGCACACACAGACACCCACTCCCACTGCCTTCACGGTGAGGACGAACAGACTCATTTCTGAAGAGCTGAAGAGGCGGGAGGAGAGTGAGGTTAGAGGATCAAAAGGGAAACAGTGTTCAGGCTTTCAGCAGAGCAGCATCCTCCATACACTGAACGCGTCGCCTCGAAGGCAGCAGAATCACACATCTATGCCTTCATGGATGATATGGACTTGTCACTGTCATGGAAACAGGGCAAAATCTGCACCCCCACATGTATTCCTCCATGTTACTGTGCTAAATTTGTGTTGATGTGTTGCTATGTGTCAGTGAAACACATTTAGTCAACATGGAGACTTTGGAATTTAAAACTAGAGCAACACAGGAATAGTGTATTACATTCCTCCATATAGCCTTTTGTGACATTTGTTCCTTGTTTTGGGAAAAAAGCTCATTGATGTTTTTCTAGATTAATTAGAGCAGAAGATTGACACCACCGTCAATTCTGCATGCTAAATTTGCAGGAACAGCAGCACAGCAGTTCAGCTTAACATCAAGGCAGCACCAGAATCCCTGAAGCTCACCATAACAAATGATTTTCCAAACCGCATCTTTTTCCTTTCAGTATGTACTGCTTACATACAAAGCATGTACTGTTGCATACAGTGTGCATACAATTGGGTCATACTACTTGGGTTGTCTTCCTCATATATCCGTTGCAGTCTGTAGTGCAAAATGAGCTGTCATCTGTCTGTGTGCTCGGCAGCTCAAGCTTGTTTATACTCATGTGAGACACTGTGACGTATGTGATGCATCTGCTGTTGCGCAAAGGATTGTGGGTTAGAATGGTTAGAAAAGCATGCTGGCTTTCATACTGCAAAAGAGCATCCTGATATTTTTGGCATTTAGCATGCTATATATTGGGACATACTAAGTCTTTTTCTGGCTAACTATATATATATTTGAGAGTCTGGGTGTTGGAACGTATCTTGTATCTTGTTCATTTAATTTGTAATTTGCAAATCAACACTTATAAATTACTTGTCATAGTTAGAAACCAGTATAAACTGCAGAAAGCCACTGTTCCTATCCAAGATAACAAAATGCCATAAGAACATAACTTGTCAGTTACGCTAACGTTACACTAACCGGCTGTTTCTGTCCTCTGCTAACTCCACAAGAATGCTAATTAAGCATATTTCCGAAAATGTTGAACTATTCCTTTTAAGTCTAAAATAAGCTTTGGAAAAACACGAGCTTTTCATTTAAGCTGTTAACTTGCACGAGTATAAATTGTGGAATAAACACACTAATTTAAGGCCGCATGCCTGCTTGGATCTGTTCTATTAAGACGCAACAACATGCAGATTAAATCGGAGAGCTCAGGCTTGATTTTTGGCATGAATGCTTATTAATCTTGACGTCCACTGGAAAAAAAAAAATTGTTTGGAAACTGCGAGTTTAATGACTTTCATTTCCACTCAAATTTGCCACACATGAACTGAAAACATGATGGAGGAAGAAAAATCGCACAAAAATTGGGTTCAAAGTGGCAGCTTCCGCCGGCATCCTATTCTGCTGGGCAGAAATCTCAGTTTGGCTCAGAGCGAGGAGAATAAAGGCTCGCTCTCAGCAAAATGAAAGGAGAAGAATGTTTTAAAGGATTCTATGTGAAAACCTCCTTGCTCTCTCTCCGTCGCCCGATGAATGCCCAGAGATGAAACATATTTACATTTCTCTGATGTGCAATGTGCTTACAGTATATGCTTCTGGATCTTCTGTTATTCTGCTTGACTTACCATGTGTTTAGAAGAGTGTGTGTGTGTTCATGTCTGTACTGTATGTGTGTGTGTGTGTGTGTGTGTGTGTTTTCCCCTTATAGTATCCTAATTGAAAGCCTGGAGGCACAAATTCTGATGCAGCCACTGTGGAGTTTGCTACAGTACATTACAGTCTGTGCACACAAAAACACACACATGAAAACATTGTTTGCTGACCTTGTGTCCCTCTGAGTCTGTTAATGATTAATGAGAAGCACAATATGTATCTCTCTGCGCTCCATCTCCCTTGTCAGCGTCATGTAATTACTGTTCTTTTTTTTTTTTTTTTTTCCTGCTTGATTGGTTTCTCATTTACTTGCTTCTCCTTTTCGCAGTCCTGGAAATTGTGTATCTCTGCATAAGCCGACGTGTCTACAGGTGTACTGATTTGTTCACCAGTGTGAGTGTGTTTTTCCCTCGTTGGCTTTATCTGCAGAGTGAGGATAGCCCCCTTTCCCCTCTCAGTAATCTCACTCATCGAGCTGCTGTTATTGCAATTTACACTTGGCTCAGCTCCAGAGCTGCTCAGCCGTAATGGTTCCTCCTCTCTCTCGCTGCCCTCGGGACTGTTATAGTTTCTCATCACCCCTGTGCTGCGCTGAGCACACTCGCCATAAACACAATGACCTCAAAGTCGCATCTTGAATTTTAGCTAAATCGTAACCTGTTAAACTCAGCAGAGCCTGTTGTGAGTATAACTTGATTATCATATCCGAGCAGCGTTTACGTCTGCAGCGATGATATCTGAGAGGAGAGATTCAGAGGGTTTCTAATGGTGCCGCAGAGCATCACCTTCATGTTAAAACCTCAT